GACTTTTTCTGAAACCTCTTTGGCCGAGGAGATTGTAGAATAAAAAATGTTTTTAAAGTAAAAAAAAAAAGTTGGCCATGCCTACTCAGTCACATTACCACCATCACCAAGCCATGCCAACAGAACCAGTAGAAACAAATTTTACATTTCACCACTGGACTAGTTGTAATCAAAATATTTGTATATACACATCAGTTCCGTGAAATAATACATCTTGGATTTAGCTCCAATATGACTGAGAGCTCTCCAAGATTTTTTTGGTGGATTGTGATCAGGAAATGAAGTTTGAATTTGTTCTCCTAAAACTCTTGAGGTTATATATTTATTAATAACAAACATGCATTAATTATTTATAATGAGTAACAAAAAAGATAGCTGCACAGATAGATGAGCCATTAACATTTTTACTTAGCTTGATGAACATGTTATTGTTAAAATGAGTAAACTTTTGTTCAAATAATGTTTTTGTGAGATGGGCCGCTATGCAAATAGGATAAATAAATGAGTTATCTATATGGTTCCTAAGAGTCAACATTGACGGCACCCAATCAAACAAAGCAAATCAATCAATCAGAGTATTTAATAAGGGAATTGTAAAGAAGTTATGGAAGAAATTTGACTTCCCAACTTTACATTTCTACCCTCCAGCATACAAAGTGTAGCTTCTTAGTATTTTCTTTCCTTGACAGAGAATCATCCTAGATGTAAACACTTCTAAAACTTTTAATAAAATGTAGATAACATAGTTTGGGGAAAACTGCTATACCTTTTTCAAACGATATCGGTAAGATTAGAAAAGTTTTTTTCGAGCAAATAAACAAAATAATATCTAAATTTATATGGACAGGTAAAAAACCTTGCACTAAATTTAAGCTGTTACAAGATAGTAAGAACCACGGAGGTATCGGTCTCCCAGACTGGGAGCTCTACTACCGGGCAGCAGTGCTGACATAGTTAAGAGATTGGATTCAACCTAAAAACAAAAGAATATTAGCATTAGAAGGGCACGATCTCCAACTAGGTTAGCACGGGTTTCTATGGGAAGGTAAAAATAAAACACATTCATATTTTCAGAGGCATATAATAAGGAATTCTCTATACAAAATCTGGGTAAACATTAAAAAAAACCATTATATGAAAATCCCAAATTGGCTATCGACAATGGAGGCAATGACACACCCAAATACAATAGACCTCAGTAAAATGATAAGATACTCAGAAATTTTAGATGAGAATGGAAAATTAAAATCAGTGCAAACATTGAAAACACAATGAATGAATTTTCTATAATGAATAAATATAGAATGGTGGCCCTACCTACAAATCAAAACAAGACTAAAAAAAGATCAAGAACAATTTGGCATATATAAAAACAATTGGAGTTGGATAAAATTTTATTGAGAACAGAAGGAAAAATTATTACAAAATTATATAAATTTCTACTAAGACATAAAATGGAGGATGAAGTTGTAAAAGAAATGATGATTAGTTGGGGAAGGAATTTCGGCCACAGCATAGAATTAGAACAGTGGGACAAACTATGGGAAAAGAATTACAAACTTACAACAGCAGTTACCCACAAAGAAAACCTCTATAAAATGTTTTATAGGTGGGATTGAGATTGGCCAAGATGTATCCCAATTTATCACTTAATTGTTGGAGATGTAACTATAAATCTGGAACATTTTACCATATGTGGTGGACGTGCCCCATCACAAAGAAGTATTTGGTGTCAAATTCAAAAATTGTTAAAAGATATTACAAAGCAAAAAATAGATATGAAACCTGAATTGTTTTTATTAGGAATACTGGACCTGAAAATGAATAAAAACCGTCAATAGATTATATTGCACATACTTATCGCAGCAAGAATCACATTCGCAAAAAATTAAAAACAAAAAAAATATACCGTCAGACAAAACTGTAATAAGGAAAATTCTAGAATGCACAGAGATGGATAAAATGACTATGGAGTTGAAAGAGAGAGAGAATTCGTACTATTATGAAATATGGAATAAAATGTACAGTTCGCTCGAAAATAGAAATCAGAAAAAAAATGTTTAACTTAATATTGATGAAACTTAAAGTAACTGAATATTAAATAAAGAAAAGTAAATATAAATGAATATAAATGTGCAGATAAGAACAAATGAATATTATAATGTATATATATATATATATATATATGTTGGAGTAATGCGATTATTCTACTATTGAGTATTAAATAGAAATGATAAAATAGAGAAATACAAAAGCAAAGTACGTTACAAAGTAAGTAAATTGATACGAAATGCTGTAAAATTACCATTAATGTTATGTAATGTTCAATACGTTACATTTTGACATGTTTGTGTTTTATATATGTGTGATTGTTTTTTGTGTTGTTTTTAAAGACAAATTGTTTAATAAAAATTATTTTAAAAAAAACATAGTTTGGGGAAAAATCTTTATTTAACAAAAAAAAAAAGCACAACATTCAATAATTCTGAATTATTCAGCTAACAGATGAATCAATCTCTTCAAAGGGATAGTAATTTTCACCCACACTGGTAACCTTATACTTCCATTTCTGAACTACCACTCCTAATTATTTTCAAGCAAAGTCAATCATTATTTTTCCTTACCAATTGCTCCTTCTTATTTAATTCAGGACGTATTAGAATAATGTAGCATTTGGGAAGGAAGATGCAACTCAGTAAACCAAAAGCAGAGGCTAGTATGGAGAAAATCTCCACGGCCACCATGAATTTCCCTTTGGTGCTCAAGTAGGTGGGGATGAAGGATATCCAAACACTGCAAAACACCAACATGCTGAAAGTGATGAACTTGGCTTCATTGAAACTGTCAGGCAGTTTCCTGGCAAAGAAAGCCACCGTGAAGCTGATGACGGCCAGAAGACCCAAGTAGCCCAGCACAATGTAGAACATCGTCTCTGAGCCTTCATTGCATTGCACTATGATCTCACCCACTTGGGAATGCTTCTCTAATTCTGGAAAAGGGGGCTTCTTCACCAACCAAACAGCACAGATGACCATCTGAATCAAAGAACAAGGTGCAATGACCAAGATTGCTAGCCTCTTCCCCATCCATTTCCTCATCTTATTCCCTGGTTTTGTAGCCACAAAGGCCAGAACCACAGTGATTGTTTTGGCCAGTACACAGGAAACAGCAACGGAGAAGGTGATGCCAAATACGGCCTGCCTTAAAAGGCAAGTCACCTTACTAGGTCTTCCAATGAAGAAGAGGGAGCAGAGAAAACATAGGAACAGAGAGGCGAGCAGAATACAGGTGATGCTCCAGTTATTGGCTTTCACAATGGGGGTGTTTGAGTGCAACCTGAAGATCGCCATCACAACGAGGGTGGTCAGAGAAAGAAAAAGTGCCAAAGATGTCAGAGCTGCTCCCAGGCCTTCTTTATATGACAGGTAAATCATTACTTTGGGAATGCATTCCTGCTGATTTGTTTTAGGATACTGTTCTTCTTGGCAAGGCTCACATTCATCTGCATCTGAAGATCACAAGCATCAATTCAGTATTAGAAGTTTCTACTAATATTTTTCAGACCTTCTGCTCTTTATACACGATGGAGAAAAAGGTAATAAGGACAGGGCTGTCTTAATGCCTGATGGGCATTTGCCCATGGGCCCCAAGAGCATAGGGACCTGGCTTTGCAGACCAATGGCATTCCCAGCAGTGGGAGGGGGAGAGGGGATGGTTCCACAGAAGCAGTGGGCGAGCAAGCACAGCTCCATTTGCACAAGCAGCGAGTGCATGTAGCTCATGCAAATGTAGCTTCGCACACTCATACCCGTGTTCGCACACCCCTTACAAGGCCTGGTTCTGAACTGGCCATGGCCCAGGGGTTGAGGATGCCTGATTTAAAAGCACAAATCAACCTTTGAATATGCTATTCAAGAACATAATTTGTAATAAAGTCACTAGACATAGATAAGAGATAAAGATGCTCCACAAGCACAAAATAGAAAATTTCTGGATCTTCTCCTAGATAGAGCTGAGTTCCTTCACTTACCCATTTGTGTTGAGATCCTACTTGAAGGACATTGGATACAATCATAACAACAAATTTGTTTCCCCTGCTGAATTTGTTTGCTCTGTCCAGGATGGCAGCTCTCAACACAGGTAGATTTTGGCACCGTCTGTTAATATTATCCAGAAAAAAGAGTCTGTAGAACAAGAATTACTTTTCTCCTCTCACTGCTAATTCTGAATTACATATTATTGGAACAGACAGATTTTAGAAATTATGAATCATGAAGCAGGTTATTAATATCTTAGAAAGATTCCTAATACTACAATAGTCTGATGTTGGTAACTCTTTCTGTGTTTTTTCTTTTTCTCAATGTATTTCCCAAATTGAGCTCTCTTAACAAATCTCCTTGTCATTCTGCGGATTGTGTGTGTTACTGATATTAACATAAAAAAATATAACAGTTCCAACCTGATGAAACTTGGGATTCCACATAATGGCACTTGCATTAATGGTGAATTCTTTTCCAAATTGAAAATTGGGATCGATTCTTCCAACTTGAACTCTCTGGAAGGATTCATTGGGGAGTGTCACCAAATTGATGAGGTCATAGCCTATTGCTAAGTCCCTATCTTCATCGAGAAATATTTCATCTCCAACGTTATTGTTAAAGTGGATTTGTCTCAAAAATGAATTAAGCTAGATGGAAAGGGGAGAACTAGGTTAATGTCACTTGAAACATTAGTGATGTGACATTTTAAACTGACATTTGATGCAGTACTGAAAACTAATGTCTTCCAAGTACTCCTCCAAGTATTTGCTTCAATTCATAAGGAATCAAATCTCATATCTGGATTGAATCATTCTTGTTTCCTATAGGGCTAAATTTAGCATCAATTTCAAATCAGTATTTCATTGGCACATCTGGATTCTCAACTCCTAATTCACTTTAAATGTTTTTTATAAAGTATCTTCCTACTCTCAATATTCTTCTAAAAACATTCACTTGCTTTCCTTTGCAGGTTGTGTTTGCTAGATTTTCTCTATTGATACATCATATATGCTTTTGTTTTCGTTCTATTTTGATTTTCTAAATTATTTTGGTTTTAATGGATTGACCAATCTACTTATGAGTACCTGCCAGGGAGGAACTTTTCGGAGATTCCATTGGTCTTGCTTTCTCCGTCCCCTCTGTTTGTTCCTCCAGGAATACAAAGCATGAAGAGAATGTGCCACAAGATACACAGCATTGTAGATGCTATAACTCCAACCAGACATACCCATTTCAAAGACAGAATCAGGAAGGCTCTCCAGCTTCTCTTCCCCAGTGCATTTTTTCATTTTCTCCTCATATAATACATGGATATTGAGTGAGCAGAAGAATGTTGATGTCCAGAATTCAGAAAGGAAATAAAATGTAGACTTCAGAGGATTTATTTCTTCAAGAAAATTCTGAAATTCTGGCACCACTTTGGTATGGAATGAGAATGACAGGGTGCCATTGAAGGATCTTTTGCTAAATCGTCTGGCAGGATTTTGAGCAGTGAAATCCCATTCACATGTTGTGATCCACACCTTCTCCAGAGGCTTGTTGTGGCCAAATTCCATTGAATATAAAACCATCTGTAATCCCTCCAGAGACTGACCATTTCCATATACAAGGAACACACTGATTTTACTTTGGGAGATAACAGATTGAATTTGAAGGATTTTTTTCACAAGTATCTCTCTTAATAAAAATAGTGACATAATTGGGATCATCTGTATCCTAGCTATGCAAATATTATTTTGTAAGAGCTTGGGTCTCAGAGTTCGAAGAAAGTTCTCACCACTTTCATCATCTGAAACAATTAGACTAATCCAATTCCATCCAAAATATTTCAGAAGTTGAACTATCCCCATGTATTGAAGAGCTTCATGGGGAACTGTACGATAGAAAGAAGGAAAACCAATTTTGTCTCTCAACATGGGGTCAGATGACCCGTAACTAACCTGGAGGGAAACATTTTAAAATTAAAAAAAAATTCAATTTTGTAGAAACTGTTTTTAAATACCTGCTAATATTAAATTCAAATTTACTGATATTCTTAAAAATCCATTTTAGTATATTGTTTAGTTGGTGGATGTACTCATTTACATTATGGATGGGTGGTCCTTTTGAAGATGAGAAATAGCAGTTAAATAGCTTTCATATCTATGTGGTCACTAAGAGTCAACATCAACTTGATGGCACATAGGCAGACCATCAATCGATCAGTGTATTAAATTTGGAATTCGTAAAGAGCATACGAAAGAAATTTGATTTCTCAAGTTTACATTTCAACCCTGTGGCTATCTAAGTGTAGTTTCTTTCCAGAGTTAGAAATCACCTTAGATGTAAAATGATAGTTTAAACAATAGAAGAATTTATCTTTACCATTGAGACTTAACAATTATTCTCCTTTTCCTTCTATAAACCTATTTCCAAAGACTTACCTGTGGAACCTTGTAAGTACTTAAGATGTTGGCCATGTGAATAGAATTTTTTGAGGTGAGTCCCCCAATAGTGGCCATGACTTCCTCTTCAGTGCCACAGTAATAATTGAGTGGATCCCCTTGCTGAAAAAAAGAAGATCCAAAATGGTCCAAGTGGTTCTCCATGAATTGTAAGCATTGTCATAAATCTTGGACCCTAATGTGTTGTTGGGTAACAGATCAGGATTCTTGTTGACTTCTTTAATGGCGAAAACAAAAGCAAGGACGTGCTGATAGTTTTTAGGGATTATACTGCCAAGAGAATTGTGAGTGTTAGATTTTAAGGCTGATAAATATGTGACTTGTACCTTAGATCCTTCCTTACCCAAAGAGCTCAGCTAAATGATCTTCTCTATATGATGGAAAACTCTTTCTGATATAAATGGTCCAGATATTCCCTTAAAACAAAGTGAATAAGTTTCGTCCTTCTCTTCTGTCAAGTCTCAGATGCCGTAAAAAAAACCTAAGCCCTTAAATCAGAGATGATGGTGGAAGACAGATAGAAAAGATCTAATCTTCCAGGTAAGGTATATAAGGATACACAAAATTTTGGATGTATATTTTGGATGTACAAAATGCTTCTTTTTTCACTCATCCAAGTACATTATGAAATATAATACAAAGGTTTCTTCCTTTTATTCTCTTGCTTATAGGCATACTGTATGTGTGTGTGTACATATTTTAATTTCCTTTTTAAAATTCTTAATGTTTTCCTTTGTTCTTTATGATATACTTCAGTTGTGTAATTCATACAACTCTCAGATGTTGTAAAGAAGCATATCCTATTAAATCAGAGATAATGGGGGAGGCAGACAGCAGACAGAGTGGATTTAATCTTCCAGGTAAAGATTACAAGTGTGAACTTTGTATGTACTGTATACTTTGGATGTACAAAATTCTTTCTCTCTTCACTCGTCCAGAGTATATTATTAAATATAATACAGCCATAGACATACTTTATAAGTCAGAATTCTTGAAAGGAATTAGGGATGTAAGAATTCCTAATCACCCTCATTCAATTTACCCAAAGTACTACATCTTACAATGAAACAATATCTTAGAATTAATATTATTTAATCTTATTATTTATTCCTTATTGTCTCCCAGGCGATGTAAATTGTACAGAGAGAACCATTCGGGCTCTTAACAAATCCATCTTCAAACAGTTCAGTAGGCTGTCTATGTATTTTCAATCAAAAGTTAATAACTGAAACCAACTCAATTTCTGCTAAAAACATGCTTGGCATATAAAATGTCAAAAAATAGAGAAGATTAGGAAACAGAATAAGAAGTCTATCAGTATTTAGAAAGAGTTATTTATATGGTGAAAGTAAGAATGATCAACAGACCCAAACAGAATCTTCCAAGAATGAAAAACCACTTTAGGTTTTTTAAGAAAAGAATTTCATGGGGTGACAGACATCTTAGATAAAAATGAAGAATGACTTACTAAGATTGGGTTGGTGAAGAAATTGGATGTTCCCTAAACTTCTGTTCCCTATAATTGCCAAGTGTCATGGATACAAATTCCCCAATTATAATTTCATCTGAAGGATTTGAGGGATGTGTGGAAGCTTTTCTCTGGTAAGGATCCTTCAGGTTCAAACATTTTCTGAAGGAATCACTGAGCTTTACAAGCAGGAAGATGAGAAGAAGAGCTAGGAGCTCCTCAGATAAGCCCCATCGCAATCTTACCACCATGGTAAACAAGCATCCACCATCTTGATCAGAAATTCAGGAAATAAAAGCAAATATTTGTGCTGTTGTCAAATGCAGACCACAAAGAGAGATGCAAAAGACCTTTTATGCCCTGACTACAACTTGTCAGCGCTGAAGTGGCTTTGCAGCCATTGATATTCTACCTTTAACAAATTTCTTCCACTAATCACTATCATTATGGTAATTGTAGGGCATCAAATCCCTGTTGACAAAGAAGATAAACTTTGTATTATATACCACCCAAAGTCACATTGTTTGAGTTAGGTGGCATTTATTTATTTATTTTTATATTTACCGGTATTTATTTATACCATATCTTTATAACTTCAACAACCCTGTGATGTGAGTTGGCCTGAGAAAGAGCAACTTGCCCAAAGTTACCTAGCTGGCTTTAATAGATAAGTTTTGATTAGAACTCATGGCCTCCTTGATCCTAGCCTGATGCCAATAGACATGGATGTCAAACTCGCAGCATCACATTGCTGTCACATAACATATCATGGTGTTTTCCCTTTTGCGGAGCTGGGGTGGGCATGGCCTGTGCATGTCGCATCCGGCCTGCAGTCTGCCAGTTTGACAGTCTATTATTATTATTATTATTATTATTATTATTATTATTATTATTACTACTACTACTACTACTACTACTACTACTACTACTATTATTATTATTTTAATTTATATGCCACTTTTCTCCGAAGATTCAGGGCAGCTTATAATGCATTTAAAAAACCATTATAAAAACATTTAAACATTAAAACATTAAAACCCATTCACACCATTCATGGCCGGATCTTACAAGATCGCAACAGCGAGATCAATGGCCCCAGATGGAAAAGCCAGGTCTTCACCGCTTTTCTGAAGGCCAATAGGGCGGGGTGGTCCGGACCTCAGGAGGTAACTGGTTCCAGAGAGCTGGGGCAGCCATAGACCATAGTGGCTCTTATAAATTGAGCAAGTAAATAAATCAACAACAAGATGCTTCTCTTCCCTCATTCTTCCACTGTGGTCATTAAGAATTCCATTTTTGTCCATATATGTGATCTGTCCCCGTCCACACACACACACACAAACACAGCCAGCCGAGGGTTAAGGAAACACTTTGGCACACACCCAGGTCTTATCTCCAACTTGGCAGCGATTTACACACCGTCTGCCAAGTACATTTATTTCCACAAAACAGAAAGATAAAATACTTAGCGTACAAAGAGTCCAAGCAGAATAATATTTCTCTCAGCAGTTCCGGACGAGGCTTTAGTGACTATCCAAGGTTTACTTTTGTTCGTCACAAGGATCACTGGCCACCACCCTCTATTATATAGTCTCTGGGGTGTGGTCCAGTGACTCAGTTCTAATCCCTAGCATGCCTCCTGAGCTGCTGCAATCGTTTATCACGCCTTCGGAGGTGTGCGTCCAGGAATGATGTTTCTCCTTCACTCTCATCTGAGCCACATGTCTCTCTGATAATCTCCTCTCCCTCGGCCGGCACCTGAGACAGTGCCAGAGGGAGGGGCCTGGAGAGGGAGGCCTGCCTGACTCCTCTTCCTCATGCTCGGAGCTTTCTTCCTCCGATGGGACAGGCTCAGAGGGCGGGGCCACAACAATATGATTCTTGCCACCGTCAACATATTTAATGACAAACTTTCAATTTTTTCCCAAGTTCTTCATCCAATAGTCCTAAAAGAAAACCTTTTGGTTTCAACGGTTTTAAGAATCTTGGTATATAGACAAAAATCTGGGCCCAACTTTTCTTTGCTTTATCACAAGCCAACTAAAGACGATAAGGAATACATGTTATAGTTTCAACAAACATTTGAAACATTTTTATACAGTTTCTCAATCATTATATTAAAATGAGATATCATTTTATGAAAGCTTTTTTCAGATTATAATTCAATGTAAATTTCAATCCATTCATCCACATATTTTCCCACTATTCAAGCACTATATCAATGATGGCTAACCTTTTTGCCATCACGTGACAAAAGTGGGGGGAGTGCAGGGGGTGGCACCCATGCATGCCCACACCCATAATTCAGTGTGCCCCCCCCCGCTTTTGGCACGTGATGGCATGGTGGGCCGGGTAGGCCTATTTTTCTCCCTCTCCAGGCTCCAGAGGCTTTCTTGGAGCCTGGGGAGGGAGAAAAAAGCCTTCCCTACCACCCCAGAGGCCGTCCAGAGGCCAGAAACAACCCATTTGCCGACTTCCAGTGGGACCAAAAGGCCTGGTTTTCACTCTTCCCAGGCTCTAGAGCCTTTCTAGGAGCCTGGGGAGGGCGAAAACGGCCTTCCCTACCCCCCACCCCTGGAGGTCCTCTGGAGGCTAGAAACAGCCTGTTTGCTGACTTCTGGTGGGACCGGAAGGCCCGAAAATCAGCTGGCTGGCGAGCACGTGTGTGCCAGAGCTGAGCTAGGGCAACGCTCGCGTGCCCACCAATATGGCTCCGCATGCCACCTGTGGCATGCATGCCATAGGTTCACCATCACGGCACTATATTATAACCAAAGTTTTTGGCCTCTTGAATCATACAACATTTAACATTTTCATTTTCCAGATTCAATTTCAATACCATTTTATAAACCTTAGATGTTAGGCATTCCTAACAAAATGATTCTTGAAATCTACATTTATGTAATGCTTAGTGCACCACAACTGTGTGTGCCATTCAAATCACAATTCATGGTCCTCCAAATCTAAATAACCAGTTATTTCTTTTGTGGTCATCCAATCCTTTATCCAGATCAAAGAACAAGCATCAAGATACAATTTTAAATCTGATAAACTCATTATTCCTCTCTCGTGCAGCAATTCACACTTAATTCTCAGTTTTTTATCTTGCTGTATGAACTTACATATCTCTTTTTGTCATTGTTTAAATAAAACATCAGTCATCAGTTTTGGTAATATATGGGAAAAAAACAACAGCTTAGGTAAAATATTCATCTTAATTACAGAAATTCTTCCCAACAAAGATAGACACAATTTATCTCACCTCACTAAATCCTTTTTGATACCATTCCAGTTGCGTAGTTCCTTTGAAACAAACCAGAATTTGTATTTGTTAAAATCTCCCCAAGATATTTAATCTTTTTTTTTCACCTTAAAACCTGACTTTCTCATTAAAATTTCATGGTCTAATATAGTCGGATTCTTAAGAAGCGTCTTTGACTTTGGTTTATTTTAAAGCCAGCAAAGACTCCAAACTTCAGATTCCTATAGTAACAAACCTAAATCATCAGCAAAACCTCTCAATTTCTGTCTTTCATTTTTAATTTTCACACCCATTATTTTTTCAACTTGTCTAATGTCTCTCCAAAACCACCAAAACTGAAATGAAAAGCAAAGGAGATGAGGATAATTTTGTCTGGTATCCTTTTGGATCTCACAAAGCTTCATTAAATTAATTAAATTGAGCTTGCTGGGATGTATAGATTGATTTAATCCAGTAGAGGAAGGAAGGAAGGAAGGAAGGAAGGAAGGAAGGAAGGAAGGAAGGAAGGAAGGAAGGAAGGAAGGAAGGAAGGAAGGAAGGAAGGAAGGAAGAAGAAAGAAAGAAAGGAAGGAAGGAAGGAAGGAAAAGGAAGGAAGAAGGAAAGAAAGAAAGAAAGAAAGAAAGAAAGAAAGAAAGAAAGAAAGAAAGAAAGAAAGAAAGAAAGAAAGAAAATAAGTAAATTTAGGATCAGGGATAGCAATTTTTATCATTATTTTTCCAAAATCTTCCATTGTTGTTCTAAACAAAGACCATTTTTTGAATGCAGGTGTGATCCAGGAGTTGTAAGGAAGTGGAGAATAATCCATTGGAAAAAATATCTATGCAAGTAAATGATACAGTAGGAGAAAATATGGCCTTGGTTAAATTAGGCAAAACATCCCCCAGCCCTGCTTTCAATAGACTGGTTCAGGGGTGAAATGTTCCCAGTTTGGACCGGATCGCCCGATCCGGTAGCGATGGCAGCGGGTGGGTCAGAGAACAGGTAGCAAAAATCCCTGCCCGCCCCCCCCCCATGCCCAGCTGAGCCGCGCGATCATCAGACGCTTTTTTGGCTGAAAAAGTTGCAGAAAAAATGCTTTTAAAAGCCTTTGACGATCCCAGCTGAGTTGCCTGATCGTCAGAGGCTTTTAAAAGCACTTTTTCTGCAACCTCTTTGGCCAAGGAGGTTGTAGAATAAAAAATGTTTTTAAAGAAAAAAAAAAGTTGGCCATGCCTACTCAGTCACATTACCACTATCACCAAGCCACGCCCACAGAACCAGTAGAAACAAGTTTTACATTTCACCACTGGACTAGTTGTAATCAAAATATTTGTATATACACATCAGTTCCGTGAAATAATACATCTTGGATTTAGCTCCAATATGACAGGGCTCTCCAAGATTTTTTGGGTGGATTGTGATCAGGAAATGAAGTTTGAATTTGTTCTCCTAAAACCCTTGAGGTTATATATTTATTAATAACAAACATGCATTAATTATTTATAATGAGTAACAAAAAAGATAGCTGCACAGAGAGATGAGCCAGTAACATTTTTACTTAGCTTGATGAACATGTTATTGTTAAAATGAGTAAACTTTTGTTCAAATAATGTTTTTGTGAGATGGGCCGCTATGCAAATAGGATAAATAAATGAGTTATCTATATGGTCCCTAAGATTCAACATTGACGGCACCCAATCAAACAAAGCAAATCAATCAATCAGAGTATTTAATAAGGGAATTGTAAAGAAGTTATGGAAGAAATTTGACTTCCCAACTTTACATTTCTACCCTCCAGCATACAAAGTGTAGCTTCTTAGTATTTTCTTTCCTTGACAGAGAATCATCCTAGATGTAAACACTTCTAAAACTTTTAATAAAATGTAGATAACATAGTTTGGGGAAAACTGCTATACCTTTTTCAAACGATACCGGTAAGATTAGAAAAGATTTTTTTCGAGCAAATAAATAAAATAATATCTAAATTTATATGGGCAGGTAAAAAACCTCGCATTAAATTTAAGCTGTTACAAAATAGTAAGAACTACTGAGGTATCGGTCTCCCAGACTGGGAGCTCTACTACCGGGCAGCAGTGCTGACATAGTTAAGAGATTGGATTCAACGTAAAAACAAAAGAATATTAGCATTAGAAGGGCACGATCTCCAACTAGGTTGGCACGGGTTTCTATGGGAAGATAAAAATAAAACACATTCATATTTTCAGAGGCATATAATAAGGAATTCTCTATACAAAGTCTGGGTAAAGATTAAAAAACACCACTATATGAAAATCCCAAATTGACTATCGACAATGGAGGCAATGACACACCCAAATACAATAGACCTCAGTAAAATGGTAGGATACTCAGAAATTTTAGATGAGAATGGAAAATTAAAATCAGTGCAAACATGGAAAACACAATGAATGAATTTTCTATAATGAATAAATATAGAATGGTGGCCCTACCTACAAATCAAAACAAGACTAAAAAAAGATCAAGAACAATTTGGCATATATGAAAAACAATTGGAGTTGGATAAAATTATATTGGGAACAGAAGGAAAAATTATTACAAAATTATATAAATTTCAACTAAGACATAAAATGGAGGATGAAGTTGTAAAAGAAACGATGATTAGCTGGGGAAGGAATTTCGGCCACAGCATAGAATTAGAACAGTGGGACAAACTATGGGAAAAGAATTACAAAATCACAACAGCAGTTACCTACAAAAAAACCCTCTATAAAATGTTTTATAGGTTGGATTGAGATTGGCTAAGATGTATCCCAATTTATCACTTAATTGTTGGAGATGTAACTATAAATCCGGAACATTTTACCGTATGTGGCGGACGTGCCCCATCACAAAGAAGTATTTGGTGTCAAATTCAAAAATTGTTAAAAGATATTACAAAGCAAAAAATAGATATGAAACCTGAATTGTTTTTATTCGGAATACTGGACCTGAAAATGAATAAAAACCGTCAATAGATTATATTGCACATACTTATTGCAGCAAGAATCACATTCGCAAAAAAAAAATATACCATCAGACGAAACTGTAATAAGGAAATTTCTAGAATGCGCAGAGATGGATAAAATGACTATGGAGTTGAAAGAGAGAGAGGATTCGGACTATTATGAAATATGGAATAAAATGTACAGTTGGCTCGAAAATAGAAATCAGAACAAGAAATGTTTAACTTAATATTGATGAAACTTAAAGTAACTGAACAACATTAAATAAAGAGAGGTAAATATAAATGAATATAAATGTGTAAATAAGAACAAATGAATATTATAATGTGTATATATATATATATATGTTGGAGTAATGCGATTATTCTACTATTGAGTATTAAATAGAAATGATAGAATAGAGAACTACAAAGCAAAGTACGTTACAAAGTAAGTAAGTTGATACGAAATGCTGTAAAATTACCATTAATGTTATGTAATGTTCAATACGTTACATTTTGACATGTTTTGTTTTTATATATGTGTGATTGTTTTTTGTGTTGTTTTTAAAGACAAATTGTTTAATAAAAATTATTTTAAAAAAAACATAGTTTGGGGGAAAATCTTTATTTAACAAAAAAAAAGCACAATTAACAGTCAATAATTCTGAATTATTCAGCTAACAGATGAATCAATCTCTTCAAAGGGACAGTAATTTTCACCCACACTGGCAACCTTATACTTCCATTTCTGAACTACCACTCCTAATTATTTTCAAGCAAAGTCAATCATTATTTTTCCTTACCAATTGCTCCTTCTTATTTAATTCAGGACGTATTAGAATAATGTAGCATTTGGGAAGGAAGATGCAACTCAGTAAACCAAAAGCAGAGGCTAGTATGGAGAAAATCTCCACGGCCACCATGAATTTCCCTTTGGTGCTCAAGTAGTTGGGGATGAAGGATATCCAAACACTGCAAAACACCAACATGCTGAAAGTGATGAACTTGGCTTCATTGAAACTGTCAGGCAGTTTCCTGGCAAAGAAAGCCACCGTGAAGCTGATGACGGCCAGAAGACCCAAGTAGCCCAGCACAATGTAGAACATCGTCTCTGAGCCTTCATTGCATTGCACTATGATCTCACCCACTTGGGAATGCTTCTCTAATTCTGGAAAAGGGGGCTTCTTCACCAACCAAACAGCACAGATGACCATCTGAATCAAAGAACAAGGTGCAATGACCAAGATTGCTAGCCTCTTCCCCATCCATTTCCTCATCTTATTCCCTGGTTTTGTAGCCACAAAGGCCAGAACCACAGTGATTGTTTTGGCCAGTACACAGGAAACAGCAACGGAGAAGGTGATGCCAAATACGGCCTGCCTTAAAAGGCAAGTCACCTTACTGGGTCTTCCAATGAAGAAGAGGGAGCAGAGAAAACATAGGAACAGAGAGGCGAGCAGAATACATGTAATGCTCCAGTTATTGGCTTTCACAATGGGGGTGTTTGAATGCAACCTGAAGATCGCCATCACAACGAGGGTGGTCAGAGAAAGGAAAAGTGCCAAAGATGTCAGAGCTGCTCCCAGGCCTTCTTTATACGACAGGTAAGTCATTACTTTGGGAATGCATTCCTGCTGATTTGTTTTAGGATACTGTTCTTCTTGGCAAGGCTCACATTCATCTGCATCTGAAGATCACAAGCATCAATTCAGTATTAGAAGTTTCTACTAATATTTTTCATACTTTCTGCTCTTTATACATTACCTGATTGAAAAAAGGTTAGTACTAAACTCTACAAAAGTCATTAAAAATGGTCTCCAACCTTTCTGTGTTTGCAAATTAATGGTAGCAGTGATGGGGGGGAGAATGTTTCTGTTCACAAATGGACTCCGACCCTCGAGGCCGACTTATCGGAGTGTGAAGGCTCCGAACATGAAGGAGAGGAATTGGCCAGGCCTCCCTCTCCAGGACCCTCCTCTCTGGCAATGCCTCAGATGTCTCCCGAAGGAGAAGAGATTGGCCAGGAGCCAGGTAATCTCCTCGCAGTCGGACAGTGATGGAGATAAGTCTTGGCTGGATCCATGCCAGCGTCGGAGAGACAAGTGCATGCAGCAGAAAAGGAGGCGTGCCAGGGATTAAGCTGAGTCACTGGACCACACCCCAGAGGGGATAAAAGGGGGTGAGGTGGCCATTCAGACTCTGTGACGGACAAAACTAACTACTAGCGAGTCACATTGTATCTTTGAAACAACGTTATCTGCCTTGGATTTAATACGGACTGGACTTGACAATTCTTGAACTGTGTATATCTTGTTTGGGTTTATCTGTCAGAGGAACAACCCCTCCCTCTATGAGTAAAGTTCTTGGCAAGCAGCTACTGGGTTGCTGCCAATCCTTTTATCGAAAGAATTTGTTGTCTGCCAGTTTTATTTAACCCCTGGCTATCTGTTCGTGTGCGTGTGTGAGATGGGGACAGAACATCTTCACACACTAACATGCATACTCATATGCCACTTACGCAGCCTTGTTACGAATCGGCCTCAGCCCAGGGGTTGGGGACCTCTGATTTAGAAGTACAAATTAATACAAGAACAATTTTTGAATACATTATTGAAGGACATAAATCGTAATACAGACATTAGACATATGTAAAGAAGAAAGCATAAAATTCTCAAGCAAAAAATTGAAAATTTTCCGGATGTTCTAGATCAGGGGTGTCAAACTCAAGGCCCATGGGGTGCTTAGATCTGGCCAATGGGACCAACCTGGAAATAGCAAAGACTGGCCCGGTGCCTCTGCTAGTGAAAATGGGGCCCTGTTTTTGGCCTGGATGGCCTCCTGCAAAATCCTGCAGCAACCACAATTCCCTCACTAATCTACTTTCCATCTCCATTTTCTGGCATGCAGGGAAACCAAAGATGATCATGTGACTACCAGTAAAAAAAAAAAAAAGTTCAATCAGGTCTTCTAACTTTGCGAGATCTTTTTTTCCCCGAGAAGTTGGAAGATCTGGTTGCACTATTTTTTTAACTGGTAGTCTCGTGGTCTTCTTTTGTTGCCCTGCATGCAGGAGAACGTGGAAAGCAGGTTAGTGAAGGAATCGTGGTTGCTCTGAGGTGGGGTGAGGATTTTGCATTTTTTTTTAATTGAAAAGTTTTATAAAAGATACAAACATTTTCTCCCCCCCTCCCACCCCTCCACCTCACCCCATCCCATCCCCCTTGCCCACCCACCCCCCTCCCTAGACTTCCCAGAACAAGCACAGGGTATAGCATTCACAAACATAAAACTAAAATATGCTGACGATTTGTTGGCTTCAAATTCTCCCTAGGTCTTTCCCTAACTCCTTGTAACTCAAAACACTATAAACATAAAGATTAAAAATGTTTCATTCATAAGCTATATGAAACTTCTTAGTCTGATACTTGTTTTGAATATAGTCAATCCATCTTCTCCATTCCGATAGATATCTTTCGTTTGAGTGATCTTTAAGATATGATGAAATTTTCGCCATCTCTGCCAAATGCGCGACTTTTAGTGTCCATTCCTCAATAGTAGGTGGATCTTCTTTCTTCCAATACTGTGCCACCAGTAACCTGGCTGCTGTTATTAAGTTTAAAACCAACTTAGTCTCTGTCACAGTACAATCCGTAACTATTCCCAACAAAAAAAACTGTGGTGTAAATTTGATCTTTTTCTTTAAAATATTTTGAATAATCCACCATATTTTTATCCAAAAAGCCTTAATTTTTTTACATGTCTACCATATATGAAAATACGTAGGGTCTTCACACTCACATTGCCAACATTTAGGTTGTAAATTTGGATACATACAGGCTAGTTTTTTTGGATCTAAATGCCATCTATAAAACATTTTATAAAAGTTCTCTCTTAAATTTTGGGCTTGTGTAAATCTTCCATTTCTAACCCATATCTTTTCCCATGTTTCCATCATTATTGGTTCTCCTATATTTTGTGCCCCTTTTATCATACAATCCTTGACTAGCTCTGTTTCTGAATCTATTTCCACTAATACATTATACAACCTTTTTATATGCATTTGACTTTTGTCTCTTATTTGTTTTATCAAGTTCTCATCCTGTTGCAAAATACCAGTTTTCTGATCTTCTCCCCATCTGTCCTGCAGCTGTCCATACTGAAACCAAGTTCTAATTATTCCTTCTTCTCTTAATTGTTCCATAGATTTTAATTGTAATCTAACTCCTTCTTTATAAAGGAGTTCCTTATATGTAATCTTATCTTGCTTTTGCTCCACATTTATATTCTCTATCGCGTGTCTGGGTACTGTCCATATTGGTAATTTATCGTTTAATTTGTATTGATACTTCTTCCAGACATGCAATAAAGCATTCCTTAATATATGACTTTTAAAAGTCTTACCTACTTTCTTATCATACAATAAATAAGCATGCCAGCCGTAGACCAGACCATATCCTTCAATGTTTAATATCCTTTCCTCCGTTAAATTTATCCAATCAGTAACTGCTGAGAGGGCAGCGGCTTCGTAATACAATCTTAAATTGGGCATTTTAAGACCTCTTTCTCTTGTATCTTGCATTATCTTTTGATTTACTCTCGGTTTTTTCCCTGCCCACACAAACTTATTTATGTCCTTCTGCCATTCCTTCAAATTTTCATCTTTTTTAAGTATAGGTATCATTTGAAAAAAAAATAAAAACCTTGGTAAGACATTCATTTTTACTGCCGCTATCCTTCCCAGCAAAGACAATTGTAATTTTTTCCACTTTTTCATCTCTCTGTATTTTTTGCCACAACAGTTCATAATTGTGCTGATATAGTTTCATATTTGTGGTCATAATATAAACCCGTAAATATTTAACCTTCTTTACTATCTCGAATCCTGTTACCCTTTCTATCTCTTCTTTTTGGCTTCTAGTCATATTTTTAGCTATTATCCTTGTTTTAGCTGTATTTATTTTAAAACCAGATACTTGTCCATATGGGTTAATTACATCCATCAAGGCTGTAATCAATTGTGCTGGTTGGGCTAAGGTAACAACCAGGTCATCCGCAAATGTGGATAACTTATATTCATGCTGTCTGATTTTAATTCCCTTTATTGTATCTGTCCCACGTATTTTACTCAGTAAAATTTCCAGCGTCAAAATAAACAACAATGGAGACAAGGGACAACCTTGCTTTGTTCCTTTTTCTATATTAAAAATATCTGTTAAACCACCATTAATTATTATTTGCGCTGTTTGTTTCTGATATATTGCCTTAATAGATTGTATAAAATATTCTCCAAGTTGCATCCTTTCTATTAATTTCAATAGAAAATGCCAATTCAATCTATCAAAGGCTTTCTCAGCATCCAAAAATACTAGCACTGCTGGGACCTGGTTGTTCCTCCCCAAATACTCTAGTAAGTTAACAATTTGCCTTATATTACTTTTCATTTGTCTACCATTTATAAAACCAGTTTGATCATGATGAATCATTTGCTGCATAACTATCATTAATCTATTTGCTAATATTTTAGCAAAAATCTTATAATCTGTATTTAAAAGTGAAATCGGCCTGGAAATAGGATTTTGCATTTTGATTGCTCTGGAGTAGAGTGGGAGTGAGGATTTTGCATTATGATTCCTTATAAGCAAGTAAGAACCAGTAAAAGAGGAATGGAAAAATCCCTACTAGTAGATCAGCATTTTTCAGCCTTGGCAAGTTTAAAATGGGTGAACTTCATGCTTCCTGGGAAATTCTGGGAATTGAAGTCCATGCATCTTAAAGATTCCAAAGTTGAGAAGCATGGGTCTAGACTAGAGTTTAGGATTTTGCATTCCTGTTTTATTTAGAGTTTGATGCAATTAAATAAATAAAGTTGTGGTTTCCTTAACAAATAGTGATTAAAGCGACATGAACCATTACTGGACTTTTTGTGAGAAACTAGAATTAAAAGTTAATCTGGGGCTTTGATGATTAGATATGAGATTATGGAAATAATGTAGACAAATGTTAATCTTAGAGTAAGAGTTTCATATATATTTTTACTTATATCTGTACCTAGGAAAGTTGGAAGTCATTCTTTTTCGGTTTTCCTTCGTTTCCTCTTTCTTTCTTATACTTTCACTCTTTATCTTTCCTGGGCCTTTTCTTTTTTTCTGTTTTTTATTTGTTTATCCCTTAGTTTCATATTTTTTAGATGTATGAAGGATCAGCCATTATAATTCTACATTCCTTATTTATAGAAATCATATCAAAATATAGAATGAAATCCACTGGGTGCCATCTCACATAAGACAGACTCTGAGTTCCTCTAACCAAAAAGTGTTTATCGATAGAAGAGAATATTTGTAGCTCAGGGTTGAACTGTGGGGTCCTTGGTGCTCTTTGAGCTTGGTGGTTTTCTTGCAGATGTTTCATTACTAAACTAGGTAACATCATCAGTACTAGAAGGGAGTGGAGTTTGCTCTTATTTTCATATGCTAGTGGCTTACCCTTCAGTTGCTTCACAAAAAGTGTTTTGATTGGTGCCAGGTCTCTACAGCCTCAGGCAGAGAAGGGCTATTCTGCACCCTTCCCTCAAATGTTATTTAAAATACAGAGTTTTCCAGCATTCCTTTAGGAACCTCCAACATGCAAACTGTGGTTACTCATCCTAAAATGAATCCTCTTTACCTGTAGCTTCAAAATTTGCTGTTTGCTGAGAAGGTGTGTAGCTAAAAGTCAGTCTACATTTAGTCTACATCTGACTTTTGGGATATTTCTTCATAACCAAAAAAAGGTGTATTTTCTGTGCAGTTTACACCCCTTGCTCGCTGGATCTGGATGTCACAAAGCAAAACCCACATTTTGTAATTAACCCTCATGCCCCGTTTTGGCTGGCAGAGTGCTGCAGGAAGCAGAGTGCTGTCATGTCCAGCCTGGCCACACCCACCCTGGCCACACACCCCAGCCACACACACACAAACACACACCCTGGCCATCCAAAGTCAAATATAATCTAGATGCGGCCCTCAATGAAATTGAGTTTGACACCCCTGTTCTAGATAGATCTGAGTTCCTTCACTTACCCATTTGTGTTGAGATCCTATTTGAAGGACATTGAATACAATCATAACAACAGATTTGTTTCCCCCGCTGAATTAGTTTGCTCTGTCCAGGATGGCAGCTCTCAACACAGGTAGACTTTGGCACCATCTGTTAATATTATCCAGAAAAAAGAACAAGAAATAGTTTTCTCCTCTCACTGCTAATTCTGAATTACATATGTTTGGAACAGATAGATTTTAGAAATTATGGATTATGAATCAGGTTACTAATATCTTAAAAAGATTCCTATACCACAATCATCTGATATTAATAACTCTTTCTGCATTGTTCATTTTCCCAATATATTTTCCAAATTCAACTCTCTCAACAAATATTCTTGTCATTCTCCAGATTGTCTGTGTTAAATACCACTCAGATGACACTGATTTAAACACAGCAAACAATAATAGTACCAACCTGATGAAACTTGGGATTCCATGTAATGGCACTTGCATTAATGATGAATTCTTTTCCAAATCGAACATTGTCATCGATTCTTCCAATTTGAATTCTCTGGAAGGATTCGTTGGGGAATGTCACAAAATTGATGAGGTCATAACCTAGTGCTAAGTCCCTATCTTCATCGAGAAATATTTCATCTCCAACATTATTGTTAAAGCGGACATGTCTCAAAAATGAATTAAGCTAGATAGAAAGGAGAAAAATAGTTACTATTCAAAAGGGGTCTAGGACAATTCAGCATAATCAGCTCGGCATGGCCAACTCACTGCAGCCAACTCGCTGAGAGATAGCTCCAAACAGCAATCTCACTGTGGGACAACTCATCACAGGACAAGAGTTACAATTCATTCTCCAGAGACTCACTACTCCCTTTTTTCTTTCTTTTTTTTTGAATGATGTGGAGAAATATTTTGCTTCAAAGAAATTAAGCTATAGTCAGTTCATCACTTTTTTTTATTTCTACCTAAATCACAAATAACTTACACCTTTTCTGGAGCACTCCAGCTACAAGCAATCATATAATTTAGGTCCTTTTACTCCTTTGGGAACAGTAGTCAATCCTTACTGTTTCTTCCTCTTCTGGTGGAATTCTAGTGGAATTAAATATCTGGTTGTTTTTCTTAATTTGAGAAGGAACAAACTCAGAATGGATTGAATCGTTCATTGTTTCCTATAGGGCTGAATTTAGCATCAATTTCAAATCAGTATTTCACTGGCACATCTGGATTCTCATCTCCTAATTCACTTTAAATATTTTTATAAAGTATCTTCCTACTCTCAATATTCTTCTAAAAACATTCGCTTGCTTTCCTTTGCAGGTTGTGTTTACTAGATTTTCTCTATTGATACATCATATATGCTTTTGTTTTAGTTCTATTTTGATTTTCTAAATTATTTTGGTTTTAATGGATTGACCAATCTACTTGTGAGTACCTGCCAGGGAAGAACTTTTTGGAGATTCCATTGGTCTTGCTTTCTCCATCCCCTCTGTTTGTTCCTCCAGGAATACAAAGCATGGAGAGAATGTGCCACAAGATACACAGCATTGTAGATGCTATAACTCCAACCAGACATACCCATTTCAAAGACAGAATCAGGAAGGGTCTCCAGCTTCTCTTCCCCAGTGCATTTTTTCATTTTCTCCCCATATAATACATGGATATTGAGTGAGCAGAAGAATGTTGATGTCCAGAATTCAAAAAGGAAATAAAATGTAGACTTCAGAGGATTTAATTTCCCAAGAAAATTCTGAAATCCTGGCACAACTTTGGTATGGAGTGAGAATGACAGGGTGCCATTGAAGGAAGTTTTGCTAAAACTGGCACGGTCCTGAGCAGTGAAATCCCATTCACATGTTGTGATCCACACCTTCTCCAGAGGCTTGTTGTGGCCAATTTCCATTGAGTATAAAACCATATGTAATCCCTCCAGAGACTGACCATTTCCATATACAAGGAATACATTGATTTTACTTTGGGAGATAACAGATTGAATCTGAAGGATTTTTTTCTCAAGTATCTCTCTTAATAAAAATAGTGACATAATTGGGATCAACTGTATCCCAGCTATGCAAATATTATTTTGTAAGAGTTTGGGTCTCAGAGTTCGAAGAAAGTTCTCACCACTTTCATCATCTGAAACAATTAGACTAATCCAATTCCATCCAAAATATTTCAGAAGTAGAACTATCCCCATGTATTGAAGAGCTTCATGGGGAACTGTACGATAGAAAGAAGGAAAACCAATTTTGTCTCTCAACATGGGGTCAGATGATCCATAACTAACCTGGGAGAAAACATTTTAAATCAAAGAAAAACATCCAATTTTGTAGAAACTATTTTTAAATACCTGCTAATATTAGATCCAAATTTACTGGATATTTTAAAAATCCATTTTAGTATATTGTTTAGTTGGTGGATACGCTCACGTACATTATGATGGGTGGTCCTTTTGAAGATGAGAAATACCAGTTAAGTAGCTTTCATAGCTATGTGGTTACTAAGAGTCAACATCAACTTGATGGCACATAGTCAGACCATCAATCGATCAGTGTATTAAATTTGGAATTCGTAAAGAGCATACGAAAGAAATTTGATTTCTCAAGTTTACATTTCAACCCTGTGGCTATCTAAGTGTAGTTTCTTTCCAGAGTTAGAAATCACCATAGATGTAAAAAGATAGTTTAAACAATAGAAGAATTTATCTCTACCATTGAGACTTAACAATTATTCTCCTTTTTCTTCTATAAACTTATTTCCAAAGACTTACCTGTGGAACCTTGTAAGTACTTAAGATGTTGGCCATGTGAATAGAATTTTCTGAGGTGAGTCCCCCAATAGTGGCCATGACTTCCTCTTCAGTGCCACAGTAATAATTGAGTGGATCCCCTTGACTGAAAAAAAGAAGATCCAAAATGGTCCAAGTGGTTCTCCATGAATTGTAAGCATTGTCATAAATCTTGGACCCTAAAGTGTTGTTAGGTAACAGATCAGGATTCTTGTTGACTTCTTTAATGGCAAAAACAAAAGCAAGGACATGCTGATAGTTTTTAGGGATTATACTGCCAAGAGAATTGTGAGTGTTAGATTTTAAGGACTGATAAATACGTGACTTGTACCTTAGAACCTTGCTTGCCCATAGAGCTCAGCTAAATGATTTTATCTATATGATGGAAAATTCTTTCTGATATAAATGATCCACATATTCCCTTAAAGCAAAGTGAATAAGTTTCATCCTTTTCTTCTGTCATTAATGCACGTATTATATATGTGCCTATACATTTTAGGTTTCCACTTTAAAATTAATACTGTTTTCTTTTGTATTTAATTATATATCTCAGTTGTGTAATTCATCCAAGTCTCGGATGCTGTAAAGAAACTAAGTTCTTAAATTAGAGGTGATGGTGGTTGGGAGACAGGAAGATAGATAGAGAGGATCTACTTTTCCAGGGAAGGTATATAAGGACATGCAAAATTTTGGATGTATATTTAGGATGTACAAAATTGTTTCTCTCTTCACTCAATATAATACAGCCATAGACATACTTTGTAAGAGTTCCTAGTCAGAATTCTTGAAATGGATATACAAATTCTTTATCACTCTCATTCAACTTATCCAAATGAAACACTATCTTAGAATTAATATTATTTAATCTTATTATTCATTCTTTATTGTCTACCAGGGGATTTAATTTGTACAGGAAGAACCTTTAGAGCTCTTAGCAAATCCATCTTCACACAGTTCAGTAGGCTGTCTATGTGTTTTCAATCAAAAGTTAATAACTGAAACCCACCCCCAACTCAATTTCTGCTATCAACGTGCTTGGCATATAAAATGTCAAAAAATAGAGTAGATTAGGAAACAGAATAAGAAGTCTATCAATATTTAGAAAGAGTCATTTATGTGGTGAAAGTAAGAATGATCAACAGACCCAAACAGAATCTTCCAAGAATGAAAAACCACTTTAGGTTTTTTAAGAAAAGAATTTCATGGGGTGACAGACATCTTAGATAAAAATGAAGAATTACTTACTAAGCTTGGGTTGGTGAAGAAATTGGATGTTCCCTAAACTTCTGTTCCCTATAATTGCCAAGTGTCATGGATACAAATTCCCCAATTATAATTTCATCTGAAGGATTTGAGGGATGTGTGGAAGCTTTTCTCTGGTAAGGATCCTTCAGGTTCAAACATTTTCTGAAGGAATCACTGAGCTTTACAAGCAGGAAGATGAGAAGAAGAGCTAGGAGCTCCTCAGATAAGCCCCATCGCAATCTTACCACCATGATAAATAAGCACCCACCATCTTGATCAGAAATTCAGGAAATAAAAGCAAATAATTGTGCTGTGTCAAAAGCGTATCAGAGTGAGGCAAAAAAAAAACATTTTGGGAGGCCTTTTATGCAAGCACAACTTGTCAGAGCTGAAGTGGCTTTGCAGCCACTGATATTCTACTTCTCACAAATTTCTTCTACTAATCATTATCATTATGGTGGTTGCAGGGCATCAAATCCCTGTTGACAAAGAAGATGATCTCAGCACAAATTTTGTATTATATACCATCTAGCGTCACATTGTTTGAGTTAGATGGCATTCATTCATTCATCCGTTTATTTATTTATTTATTCATTTATGTATTTATCTTTATATATTTTTATATCTTTATATATTTTCTCATAAGTAACTCAAGGGGGTAGACATATCCAGCATACCTTCTTCCTCCTTCTATTTTCCCCACAATATCAACCTTGTGAAGTGAGTTGGGCTGAAAAAGAGCAGCTTAATGGCTAAGTCTGGATTAGAACTCATGGTCTCCCAGTTTCTAGCCTGAGGCCTTATCCAGTTTACATGACATATCGCAACATTTTGCCTTTTGCAGAGCTGGAGTGGGCTTGGCCTGTGCATGATGTGTCCGGCCTGCAGTCTGCCAGGTTGACAGCCCTGCATTAGACCATAGTGGCTCTTATAAATTGAGTAAGTAAATAAATCAGCAACAAGATGCTTCTCTCCCCTCTTTCTTTTTTATTTTATTAGTTTATTAGTTTGATTTATATGCCGCCCTTCTCCGGAGACTCAGGGCGGCTTACAATGCTTTTAAGTAATAGCCTTTATACTTTTGTATATACCTGCTTAGTAGGGCTTTTGCCCCCCCCCCCCCCAAGCGGTGTTCTATTTTATAAGTCAGCTTATTGCCCCCACAAACCGGGTCCTCATTTTACCTACCTCGGAAGGGTGGAAAGCTGAGTCAACCTTGAGCCTGGTGAGAATTAAACTCGCAGTAATTGCAGGCAGCTGGCAGCTAAATACTACTTTAACAGTAGTTAAAGTAGTTCTTCCACTGTGAGAATTAACAAGTCTTTCCAGTTTTACCTATGTACAATTCTTGCCACTGTCAACATATGTAATAACAAATTTCCATTTTTTCCCAAGATCTACATCCAATAGTCCTAAAAGAAAATATTCTGCTTTCACTTGTATATAGTAGTACCATGATACTCATCCTTAATTGGTTCCAGTAAGTACCAAACGATGAGTACCCAAAAAAAAAAAAATTTCCATAAGGAATAATACAGTGAGTTACAAGGTAGCTGACACTAACAACGGGGTCACCAACCTTTCAGACCTCAGGGACCACTAAATTCATAATTTTAAATCCCGTGGACCACTAATATGATCTGCCCAATGACCAGCTGGGTGGGCGTGGCCAACTCAATGTCACTCATGTCGAGGGGCGCCTCGCCAGCCTCTATTCGCCCTTCTTCTCCAGCCACTCCTTGCCTCTCTGCCTGGGCTCCGACAGGAAACACTTGCTGGAGTTAAGCAGCCACCATGAAAAAGAGTTGGCAAAACAGCTCAGTTCAAATTGGATCTGAGCAAGAAGAAGGCTCAGCAGAAGCACCTCATTGAGGACTACGAGAATAGGTTTTCCAAGCAGAGGGCAGATACCAGTGCCTGGAGGCTCAGCGGGCTGAGATGGTCAGCCAGTTCCAGGCCATAATGGAATCCCACTGGAACAAGGCCCTCCAGAACAGAACAGAGCAGAATAGAACAGAACAGAACAGAACAGAACAGAACAGAACAGAATAATGGAGTTGGAAGGGATCTTGGAGGTCTTCTATTCCAACTCCCTGCTCAGGCAGGAAACAATATACCATTTCAGACAAATGGCTGTCCAATCTCTTTTTTAAAACTTCCAGTGTTGGACCATTCAGAACTTCTGGAGGCAAGTTGTTCCACTGATTAATTGTTCTAATTGTCAGGAAATTTCTCCTTAGTTCTAGGTTGCTTCTCTCCTTGATGAGTTTCCACCCATTGCTTCTTGTTCTGGCCTCAGGTGCTTTGGAGAATAGCTTGACTCCCTCTTCTTTGTGGCAACCCCTGAGATATTGGAATGCTTCTAACTTTCTTCTTCATTTCATCCATCATTCAATTTGCCTGTTATTACAGGTAACTCAAATCAAAGCAGATAACTGACAACTGACAACTTTAAGTCTCAAACCACACCTATCAGTCCTGCAGTTGAGATCTTCTGTCTCTTTCTGTTGACCAAGCATCTTGAAGGAGAATTGTAAGGATCTCATTAAAAAGCCATAATGCAAATACATCTCAAAAGAAGAGAACATATATAGCTCATGGCTGAACTGTGGAGTCCACGGTGCTCTTCGAGCTTAGTTGTTCACTTGCAGAAGTTGCATTACCCAAATAGGCATTTCTTTACCCAGCTAGATAATATCATCAGTATCTGCACTAGCACTAATGATGTCTATGGAGATTCTCTTTTTTTTTTTTAATTGCAAAAGTTTTACAATTACATTTTCACCCCATTCCCCCCCCCCTCAACCCGCCCCAAACTCCCCAACCTCACCCTCCCTAACCCCCCCTAACCCTCCCCTCTCCCCCGGACTTCCACAGAATATGCTCACATCAAAAAAAAAAAACCCTTATATAAAACTTGAACCCCTCCATCCCCCATATAATTTTTCATCTTCACAAAGTTAAAATATTTCTATCTTAATATAACATTTTCAATTAAAAGCTATTTGATACTTCCTGGTTTGATATTTGTTCTGCACATAATCTATCCACTTTTTCCATTCCCATTCATAAGTCTCTTGTGAACAATCTTTTAGGTATGCTGAAATCTTCGCCATCTCTGCAAAGCTGGCCATCTTCAAAGTCCATTCCTCGATAGTGGGCAAAGCTTCATTTTTCCAGTATTTACCTATCAATAATCTCGCTGCTGTTATCATATACAATATCGACTTTGTTTCACCCAATGTAAAACCCTTAACTATACCCAATAAAAACAGTTGTGGAGAAAATTGAATTTTTTTCTTCAAAACATTCTGCATAACCCACCAAATTTTTATCCAAAAAGCCTTAACTTTCTTACAAGTCCACCAGACATGATAATATGTAGCATCTAAGCAATCACATCTCCAACACTTTGGCTGAACATTAGGGTACATGCATGACAATTTCTTAGGTTCTAAGTGCCATCTATAAAACATTTTATAGAAATTTTCCCTCAAATTCTGTGACTGTGTAAATTTAACGTTCTGAACCCAAATTTTTTCCCATGTTTCCAACATCACTGTTTCTTCAAAATTTTGTGCCCACTTAATCATACAATCTTTAACCAATCTTTAATCTTCGGCTATTGTGCTCGTCGCTTCAAAAAGATGAAGATGACAATTAAGTGTTTATCTTAGAATGTGAATGGGTTGAATTCACCACAGAAAAGGAAGAAGCTATTTACATATTTGAGACAATTTAATAATGATATAATTTGTTTACAAGAAACTCATATTAGAACTCAAGATCAAAAATACTTGATAAATTCAAAATTAGGAACACATTTTATAGCTTCAACTTTGGAAAAAAAGAATGGTGTGGTCATTTATGTAAATAAAAGACTGGCAGCTAAAATTATAGAAGCAGATGAAGATGGCAGGTTTATAGCAATTGAACTGCATACAGTAAATGGCCAAATTCTTCTGATTGGAATTTACGCTCCTAACCAACAACAGGACCATTTTTATAAAACTTTACACACTAAAATACTGCAATGGGATTATAGATCTATTCTAATTATGGGAGATTGGAATGGAGTAATTGATTCCAAATTAGATAAAAAGAGCCTGGCGAAATCAAGGATTAGATTACCACAGACTTTTTTCGACATGAAAGAAGATTTGGAATTAAAAGATATCTGGAGAATACATAATCCAAAAGAATTGGATTATACTTTTTTTTCTGATAGACATAGATCCTTCTCTAGGATTGATTTTATTTTGTTATCAGATGATCTACTTGTTAAAACAAAAAGAACAAAGATTTTCCCAAGAACTTTGACTGACCATAGCCCAGTATGGATAGAAATTGAGATGGGTAAGATTGAGAGACAAACATGGAGATTAAATGAAAACTTGTTCAGATATGAAAAAAATATAATAGAACTTAAAAAGCAGCTGAAAGAATTTTTTGAAATAAATTTGAATAAGGGTACCCCAATTGAAATTGTGTGGGATGCGAGTAAAGCATATATGAGAGGGGTACTCATTCATATGAATTCTAAACATAGACTGAATCGACAACAGAAAAGATCTGAATTGGAAGCAGAAATAAAGAATAAAGAACAGCTACTTATTAAAAATCCAACAGATGAAGGAATATGTGGTGCTATAAAACTTTTGAAAGATCAATTTCAAATGCTTATGGCAGAACAAGTTGCAACAAATTTACAATATGCAAAGCATAATACATTTTGTAACGCCAATAAACCGGGCAGATGGTTGGCCTATACATTAAGGAAGAAGCAGAGCATACGGACTATTGATAGTATTGATATTGGAGGGAAAGAAATCTTTCAACAAAAATTAATTAAAGAAGCTTTTGTAGATTATTATACCAAATTATATGCTAAAGATGATATGCAGAATGGACTTATAGAAAAATATTTAGATAATAAAAGAGTCACAAAAATTACTAATCAACAAAAGGAAAGAATGAATTATCCTATAACAGAGGAGGAGATAATAGCAGCAATCAAACAATTAAAAACAGCTAAAGCTCCTAGAACGGATGGTTTGACTGCAGTGTATTATAAAACTTTGCAAGCAGAGATGGTGGAACAACTTAGAGATCTATTTTGCAACATACAACAAGGGGGTAAAATACCCCCATCATGGAAAACAGCTTATATTTCTTTGATACCAAAAGAGCAAGCAGGTCCCAAAAAACCGGAGAATTATAGACCAATATCTCTTCTGAATAATGATTATAAAATTTACGCAAAAGTATTAGCCAACAGGTTGATGCCAGTAATCCAAGAGGTGATTCATGATGATCAAGCGGGATTTATAGAAGG